ACTGTATTACTGAGGTAGGAGAACATTTGGAATACAGATATCTATGGATGCCTCCTAGCTGAGGGAGTTAGTAACACTTAGGTGCTGATTGGTTTTTGTGACAAACATCTGTTCAGATGAATTCTTTGGATATTCCTACTATATAAAATAGGGTCAATTATACATTTTCTTGTAAAAATTACTAAAAACTGAGTCACTTGATAGCTTCTAGTCTTCACTGAATAATTTATTTTTTCTGAATACTTAAAATACTCATACAACAGCATATAAATTCCACATTTTAAATAAAAAATAAACATTAAAACTCATTTTCTTATGTTACTAATTTAATAACTATTAATTAACTTAATATGAATAAGTGCTTTATAACAATACTAGGAAGTTCACACAGTATTATTATTACTGATAATTAATATAGTCTAATGAGTTCTTTTTACTTACCAACAAGACATGATAGGCTAAACAAAGACGTGGAATAAGTCATTAGACTATATTTGGAGCAAGGGTCTTACAGTTGTAGAGAATACAGTAAGATGTTTGATGTCTTTTGATGGGTTGTTTAAGATACAGTTAATAGGTCTAATCTAATTAAGTCTTTAGGGTATTATTATTGAAGTTTCCAAAACTATGGAGCATCTTTCTCCTGAAGCAATTTAAAACTATGGCTTACGAAATTACAAACGTCCCTGAGAGCCAGATATATTTAAATTACTTTCTTCAGCCTTAAGAAGATTCTTTAGAGGATTTCCTGGGCTTTGCAATGGAGCAGTGTTCCCAGCTGAGCTTCAAGGGCAAATGAAATGTGTCCTGTTCTCAAACTGAACTGCTCAATATTTAAATGTGCTCTAGTTGGGTTTGAAGTAGGAAAACCAAACCATATTCCCTTTGGAAACATATTTGACTCTCATATAAAGAAAGGTTTGAAGTAATTTAGTAATGTCTTTTGTAAATTGCCCTTATCATCAATGATTTCCAGATAATTTGTCTTGTAACATTAAGGTTTCCCAAGTGGTAACTATGTCTTTAGGAATCCATCAGACTCATGGACAATTTTGTAAGATAGACTGAAAAATAGAAGATCATGGGGGAAGAAATCTGCTATGTGTTGAAACCCAGGAGGTAAGCCAACCTCCCTTAGAAGTAATCACTGAAACATACTAATAACACAAATCCAAGGAAGGAGTCTTTATGAACTGAGTTGAAATAGTCATGTGCTGTGTGGATGGGATGTTTCTTATGAGAGGCATCTGTCAAATAGGAACAAAAATTCCCAAGAGAATTTTCTTAAATATAACTTAAAGTTGAGAAAATACATGGCCTAAACAATAACTGCAGATGTATTTGAATATTGAAGTCAGATGGATATTTGGATCTATAATTTTTAACTGGGAGTAGAAATTCATTTGGTCATAATGTAGTTTCAGGTTTTTGCTTTATTATAAGTGCCTATGCATCTAAGTGTTATTTCCCTTTGGTCTAATGAGGTTGCTGTGCCATAGTCATCAGATTTGCTCTCTGGATCAGAATATAAAGCAGAGTGCTGTCACCACAGATCAGTGATTGTAGCAATTTACTTCATAGCACCAATTCAGTTTTGTCAGGTTAGAAAATGATTGTCCGGTTTTAATCATGAATACACAGTGTTTTGCCTTGGTCTCCACTCTGGATCATCTACTTGGGCGTTCTTAGTGCTCTATTTCTCGTTCTTAAATACTTTGGATTTGGGATGGGGAGAGAAAGTAAGAGGAATAGTGAACCATTAACAGGAAAAATTCTGACTTATGTTTATATGAGTATGAGGATGATTTTAAGTATTTAAACGTTTCCTTTTGTTATTGGTAGTACATTTTTGTTGTGGCTTTAGATGTTATATTTGTGAGATACATGCAAACTTAGGTTTTAGATGAACGAAGTAGCTTTAATTTAAAAAGTCAACCTGTGAGCTTCTTTTTAAAACTGTAATGGTTTTCTGTTATAATGGCCCAACACTATTCACTGTAAAGTGAATGGACTTTGGTAGCCTGGGCATACAACTCAAATTACAGATGTGATGAAAAATAGTTGTTGAATTGATTAAGAAGAGACCAAACTATGGAGATACTCTTAGAGTAGGGCAACATTAGGACACATAAAAGAATTCTAAAGAAAAACAAGTTGACTGAAGATGAAGGAAACCAAAATAATGTTCACCATATGCTATAGGCTTTATATGTATTACCTTGTTTATTTTCTGAAGAACCTGATAACAAGGCTATTAAAATTTCCATGTTGTAGATAAGAATATTGACACCCAGGGAAGAAAAATGCTCAAGGTCACAGAGCTAGGATGCTGACAAGTCAGGATTTAAAGGTATGTTCTTTGATGTAGGCAAAATTGATTTGATATCATAACAAATCAAGTGGTGGCAGTGGTTAGAAGAATGATTCTCACGCTGAGCTTGCTTTCTTAGACATCAGTCAACAGAGAATTAGGACTTGGGAGACTTTGTTTATAACATAGCATGAAAAAGCATCTGGGATTCAGATAGAAGAGAAATATGTGTATTTAGCATATAAAAGAACTGCAAAATATAAAGGGTGAAGTTGAGGGAAATAAGAGCAAAAGAAGAGAAAAGGAAAAATACCCTAGGGATGGCCAGAAACCACTGGAGGCAGTTTAAAGTGGTTGAAATTGGTTCAAAGGCTTTAATTCAGACCTCAAGTTTTGTGACTAAGGAAAAATGGGTGATGTAGTATGTGCTTATTGGGTTCCAGAAATTGCTCTTTGTTTTATGGATTAATTGGAGAACTTAAATGGAGTCTGTTCATAGACAAGGATATCACTGTAAGAATTTTCTGTAGGTATTAAGTTAGGGAGACAGATGAAGGGGATAGCTACAGTTTTTAAAAAAAAAAGAGCTGATGTGACTTTCTGAGGGATGTCTTTGGCAACATCCACCATTCCTGATTTCTGGGGGATTGCAGTGGATATTTTTCTGAGGCCTCACTCAGTGAGAATGGCCGTGGAGCTGCACTGCAGTTACAGGCTTTCTCTTGGATCCCTTTATATTAGATCTGGGCATCTCTCAATGAAAAGATATTTGCTTTGGAGAATGAGAGAAATGAAAGCATAAACCCAGGCTGAGACATAACATTTAAATCACATATATGACAATGGCTCATTCAAAGAACACTGAAAACTCAACGGCAAGAAATTAAAAATAGGCAAAAGATATGAACACTTTACTAAAAATGATATAAGTACAGCAAAAAAGAATATGGAAAGATGTTCAACATTATTATTCACAAGGGAAATTCAAATTAAATCCTTCACAAAATATAATTATATACCTATTAGAATGAATGAAAAGAAACTGCTGACAATAATACATGTTGATTAGCACGGGAATACTTGGAACTCATACATTGCTGGCTGGAATGTACAACCACTCTGGAAAACTGCGAGTTTATTACAAACTTAAACATGTTCTTTCCATATGATTATTATCCCACTACTGTATCTTTACCCTAGAAAGTTGAAAGTTTAGGCCCATATGAAACCTGGGAACAAATATTTATCACATCTTTTTTCATTACTACCTCAAGCTGAGACAATTCAAATGTTCTTCTGAGGATGAATGCGTAGATAATTATGGTACATCCATGCAATGAAATTTACTACTTAGCGCTTGCAGCTTGAACAAATCATAAGCACCTTTGCTATGTAAAAGAAATTCAGCATGGCTCTATTTCATGAGATTCTGAAAAGCTAAAAATACAAAGACAGAAAATATATCTCTGCCTAATAGTGTTTAAAGAAGTTACTAAAAATGGGCTAGTGTAAAAAGGTACAGGCTGTGGACCTATGATTTGGTTATGGTAATAATTACATGCTTCTATAAATGTTTTAAAGTTATTAATTGAATATTTAAAGGTAAAAAGTCAATTTGCTGCATGATGTTTAACTGTATGATAATTTAAAAACAGAAACAATCAGGCCAGGCCTGGTGGCACACGCCTTTAATCCCAGCACTTGGGGAGGCAGAGGCAGGCGGATCTCTGTGAGTTCAACGCCAGCCTGGTTTATATAGTGAGTTCCAGGACAGCTGGGACTACAGGAAGTCTCTGTCTCAAAAAGACCAAAAAAAAAAAAAAAAAAAAAAAAAACCAGAAATAATCATTCTATCTCCTGTTCCCTAGCCCCACCCTGTGGAGACATTTGCATTTTGATAAGAATATTTTCTATTATTGGTCCTCCCTTTTGAAAAAATAACCAGGCTGTCAATATTATGTTCCTTTCTGGTCATTCTCCAGATTGATCTATTTATTTTGATATTTTATTTTCGATTTTATTATTTTCATTTTATGTGCATGAGTGTATTGCCTGTATGTATGTAAGTACACCTGTGTTGTGCAATACCCACAGTAGTGGATCCCCTGGAACTGGAGTTATGGATGGTTGTTAGCTGCCATGTGGGTGCTGGGAACCAAACCTTGGTTCTCTGCAAGAGCAGCAGGTGCTCTTAACCGTGGAGTCATCTCTTCAGTCCTCTTTTGATATTTTATTACTTAGGGGCTACCATTGGGTTCTTTTGATAGAACCCAAGCTGCCTTTTAAAGTAATTCACTATGTATGTGATATAAAGCATTTTGTGTTGTTCACTGGTTCACAGAAAAGTTTCTAGTAAGTATGGGCCACAGGAAGGGAAGCTTGAGCTTGAACCTAGTCTTTAACTTTAACTTTACTGACTTTAAAGTGATAATATTGTGGGATTTAAATGATATACCTGTTAAAAACAATCCACAGAGTCTTTGCTCATAATTAGCAATCAATATCGTTTCTTTCATAACTGTCTCCACACATTAATAGTTGTTTTTATTTCCCCCTTCTCCCTCCTTCTCTTATTGTTTCCTTTCTTTCACTGCATTTAATGCAAATGTTTATACTGTTGCATTGGCATGCAAAGAAAATACCGTTAAAAATTCTTTTGGATTCTTACAGGTAAAGGGGAGACAATAAAATGGAACGGGAAAACCAAACCATTCTGCAGGCATTTTTTTCTGAAAGGGCTTTCTGGTTATCCAAGGCTTGAGCTATTCTTTTTCGCGCTCATCTTAGTAATGTATGCAGTCATCTTGCTGGGCAATGGCACCCTCATTGTAATCAGCCTTTTTGACTCTCACCTTCACACCCTGATGTACTTTTTCTTGGGGTACCTGTCCTTCTTGGACATCTGCTTCACTTCTACCTCCATTCCTTTCACCCTGGTAAGCTTCCTCTCAGAAAGAAAGACCATTTCCTTCCTTGGCTTTTCAGTTCAAATGTTCCTTGGCTTGGCTATGGGGACAACAGAGTGTGTGCTCCTGGGCATGATGGCCTTTGACCGCTATGTGGCTGTCTGTAATCCTCTGAGATACTCCATCGTCATGAACAAGAATTCCTACATGACCATGGCAACTGGGTCCTGGTCTTGTAGGTCTTGTCAACTCTGCAATGCAAACAGCATTTGTGGTGCAGCTGTCTTTCTGCCGGAATGTCATCAATCATTTTCTCTGTGAAATTCTGACTGTCATGAAGATGGCTTGTGCCAACATCTCAGGCAATGAATTCATCATGCTCATGGCCACAACTGTGTTCACTCTGATGCCACTGCTCCTGATTGTCATCTTGTACTTATTAATCATTTCCAACAGTCTCAAAATTCGCTCTTCTGAGGGGAAAAGCAAAGCCTTCTCTACCTGCTCAGCCCGCTTTACTGTGGTGATAATATTCTACAGGACCATCCTCTTTATGTACATGAAACCCAAGTCTAAAGACACATCTACTTGGATGCTACTAACAAATTTGTAACTGTGTGCTATGGAGTGATGACTTCTTTGATGAATCCTTTAATCTACAGCCTCAGAAACAAAGATGTGAAGGAGTCCCTAAAAAATCTGAAGAGAAAATTCTTTGGCAAGTGAATGACAACTGTCAACAAAGTCGGACATCGTTGGAACTCAGGACTTATATTGAATTTTCATTACTTTTGGTTTTTCCTTGTCCTTTTATGTATTGTGTTAAAAGTTTATGAGATATCACATTTCAAAATTATTTCATGTTCATAAAGAATCTTGAAGATTCAAGACAGAAAAATGAAGAAAATATAAGGTAACAGAACAGTGGTGACCACTTTTTGACATCTTGGACACCATCTTCATAAATCTATATTTTTTTCAGTATTAAAGTTGGGCATATACGACTTTAGCATACAAATTTTTATTTCATAAGAAATGATTCGTCATTGTAAAAAGTTCAATTCTCAGAAGCCGTGTAAAAGCGGAAGCCATGTAAAAGCTGAAAGAGAATCCACAGTTGTCCTCTGATCTCCACATGCGTGCTGTGGCATGGGTGGCCCTATCGTGCACACACATAAATAATGATAGTAACAAGAGCAGCATTAATACTTATTATTATTTTAAAAAGTAGGTTACTGGTTCAAATAATAATGGATAAATTGGGTTGGATAGAGTCACATCAGTTCCCATCTCCAGGATTTCTTTTCCACTTGAGAAAATTCCAGTGCTTCCCTAATCTTACACTATCCTAGCTCTTGATTCTTTTTTTTAATGTGTGTATCTTTTCAAAAAATTGTTTATTTAATAATCACACACTTAGAAGAAGCATTTCATTGTATCAGCATTGACATATTCAATAACAATTTTCTGAGCTAGGATGCATCTCTTTCAAAATTGGCTGCACATTTTTTGGTTTACAGTTGAATTATTACAGTTATACAATGTTGTACTCAGTATAAACCCTATAAGACATAAAACTAAATGAGGTGTTAACATTTAAAAAAGATCTCCATTTCATTATTAAAATATAGAATTTCATACAGAAAAATCCATTTTTAGTGCAATTGACACATTTGCACATGCGTTTCTAACCTCTGTATATCAGATTGTTACTAGTCACAGTCGGTTACTTTCTGAGCTCCTTGGCATCTGAGCATGGATATAAAGTCATCAGGTAGAATTCAATGGTAATGTTTTTCACATCTACTAATTATTAAGGAGCAAATCTCTTCTTTCCCACTGACTTTTTTTTTTTTTCAGAAGAAACATTTCATTGCAGCTTTAACATACTCAAAAACAATTTCCAGAGCAAAGACACATCTCTTTCAAAAGCTGCTATAAAATTTTTAGGTTCACAGTTGAATACAGTTATACAATATTGAACTCAGTATAAACCCTGTAAGAGACAAAATTGGATGAGTTTTTAACTTTTAAAAAAGATCCCACTAGAATCTGTTATACTAAGTGAAGTAACACAATCTCAGAAAAAAAATC